CCCTTCAAGGTAGCCACATTTGTCTCCTTTGAATACTTGAGGAAATGAGATTAGTGAAGGCAAATAACTTTCCTGTTAGTTTCTAGATAGTTAGTAATATTGTTCAGATTTAATTAGATTTATCCTCAGACTGTGTTTTAAACTAGTGCTGTAGAAGTGAGTACTTAGTTGACTGGAATTAACATTTATAACTTTACAAAGAAATCTCACTTTTGAGTTTTTAGCAGGTGACTTGGGCTAGACTAATCAGGGTTTATATATATTTTAAATAGAAACTTGATTTTTAAATATTACATTTCAAAAATCTTGTTTTAAAGTAGGGCAGCAAAACACAGACCAAAGAAAGTTAACTTCCATTAAGAAGTTAATTTAATTAGCTGCTTAATGCAAATAGAAATTTTTATTAGTAAGGTTAGAGCTCCATCTAGTGGATATGATTTTATATACACTCACTGGCTGAGTATTTTTATTGAGGAGAAAGATGAGGCTTTCTACTCCCGTAAAGATTTACACCCTCAGAAACCCTATACAGGGGCGCTATGGGTCGGAACCGACTCGATGGCACACAACAACAACAACAACAACAATATGTTTTATAAGGAGCTCTGGTAGCGTAGTGGTTTCGAATCGGGCTGCAAACCATAAGGTCAGCAGTTTGAAACTACCAGATGTTCCATGGGAGAAAGATGAGTCTTTTTGCTCCTGTAAAGATTTACAGCCTTGGAAACCCTGTACAGGGTCACTAAGAGTCGGGACCAACTCCACGGTACATAACAACAACGTGTGTTTTTTGGAGTCCTGGTGTGGCGCTCTGGGCTAATGAGTCAGACAGCAAAGTTGCTTGAACTGCAATCTCGGTCGTTCAAGCTCACTAGCTGCTCCTTGGAAACCCTGTGCAGGGTCGATATGGATCAGAATTGACACAATAGCACTTAACAACAACAACAACATATGTTTTATACATAGGACAGGGGTCCTGGTATGGTGCTGTAGGATAAGCACTGGGCTGTGAACCCTGAGTGTGGCAGTTCAGTCTTAGCAGTTTGTGTTACACGACTTGATGGAACTGACTCAACAGCACTTAACAACAGAATAGGATAAGCACTGGACTGCGAACCACAGGGTATTGCCCACCAGCCTCTCCACAGAATGATGAGGATTTTTGTTCCTGCAAAGATTTAAAAAGTCTCAAAACCCTATCCAGGATTGCTGAGACGAACATTGTTGTTACGTGCTGTTGAGTCGGTTCCAACTCACAGTGAGCCTGTACTCGTTTTCTGAGAAGCAGCTGGTATGTTTGAACTGCCAATCTGTGGTTTACCATCCAGTGCTGAATCTACAGCATCACACCAGGAGTCTAACAACAACATACATATTTTTAATTATCTTCTATTCAGAGCCTAATAAATAGTCCAAGTATACATTTATTCTAGAAACTGAACTATATTAACCTAAATTTTCTCTTTAGCTTATATATACATTTGATTCATAAAATTTTCTTGTTTACTTTCTTTCATTCTCTTTTACAAGAACATACAGATTTTATTACTGAAAAAGTGATTGGAGAACAAGGCTTAGATATTGGCCATGTTGGCCTGCTAATACTCCTTCCTCAACCTAGACTTACCACTTACTCCCTGCTACCACACAGTTGGTCAGTAACAGAGCTAGACAGCTAGAGAGGCCTCTTCTGATCCTGATTGCTTTTATGCAGAGGACGAAGAATACATTTGGTTTGAGAACTGCCCAAGGGCATATTTCAAGTGCAATGGTTTTACATGCGTTACTTTCATGAGGATTATCAATCATAAGTGTGTTCTTATGTTTTTCTCAGGCATTCCCTTTTCTCCAAAATAAACTTCCATTATAACCATTACATTTCTTCTTAATTCTACCTCTTCAGATGACTTACTATCTAGGGCTTAATTCTCCTGAAGAGATGTTTTATAAATTATTACAAAGAGTATGAAGTGTTACTAATGAAAGACCTTTCCCAAGATAGGTATGTTCAGACAGGGAATGATTAATTTGTTGTTGTCAGATGCCATTGAGTTGGTTCATATCATACCTACTGTATACAACAGAATGAAAAAAATTCTTGATCCTGTTCATCTTTACAAGCCTTCCTAGGTTTTCATCCATAGTTGCAGCCACTGTGTCAGTCCATCTCCTTCTGGCTCTTCCTGTTCTTCACTTGCTATCTACCTTAGCAAGCTTGATGTCCTACTCCAGATACTGGTCCCTCCTAATATATTAATGTGTCCAAAGTATATGAGAGGAACTCTTGCCATCTTTGTTTCTGAGGAGTATCCTGACTGTATTTCTTCCAAGACAGATTTGTTCTTTCTTCTGGGAGTCAATAGTATATTCAATATATATGTATATATTTTTGCCAGCACCATAATTTAAATAAGCCAATTCTTCTTTGATCTTCCGTATTCATTGTCGAGTTTCATATGTGTATGAAACGTTTGAAAATAGTATGTCTTTGGTCAGTCACATCTTAGTCCTCGGTGACATCTTTGCTTTTTAACATTTAAAGACAGTCCTCTAAATGTCATTTTTGCTTTTTGACACTTTAAAGAGATCTTTGCAACACATTTGCCCAGCACAGTATGGTATCATTTGATGTTTGTGACTCTGCTTTCATTGGTGTTGATTGTGTATCCAAGTAAAGTGCACTATATGAAAACCTCAATAATGCCTTCATTTATCCTGATGTTGCTTATTGTGAGGATATTTGATTGCTTTATGTTAAGGCATAATCCATACTACTGAAGGCCTCAGTCTTTGATCTTCATCAGTGTTTCAGATCCTTTTGGCTTTGACGAGGCAAGGTTGTATCATCTGCATATTGCAGATTGCTTGTGTGGTGCACCAGACTGCAAAGCCGTTTGAACTGCAAGGTCGGCAGTTCAAGCTCACCAGCTGCTCTTCGGAAGCCCTATATAGGGTCACTATGGGTCAGGGTCGACTCAACAGCACTTAACAACATTCATATAGTCCATCTTTTTGGATGATTTGCTTAGCCTGCAGACTCAGTATATTGAAAGGATACTTAATCCATGAAGTATCCTCTGTTCTATTTGAACTGCTGCCTGTTGGTCCATGTATTGGTTCTGCATTAGCATAGTTGTACTCTGTACTTTCCATTCTTCACGATTTTATTAATTTTTTATGATCTACACAGTTGAAGGCCTTTTTTGCACAGCAAATAAGACAGGTAAACATCTTTTTGCTGGTATTGTCTGCTTTCAGCAAACATCCATCTGACATCAACAATGATTTCCCTTGTTCTATGTCCTCTTCTGAATCTGGTTTGAATTTGTGGAAGTTTCCTGTTCATATACTTCTGAAATAGTTTTTGAATTATCTTCTGAGAATTTTACTTGTGTATAATAATGATATTGTTAATTTCTACATTTTGTTGGATAACATTTCTTTCAGTTTGGCACAAATATGGATCTCTTTCAGTCAGTTGTCAGGCATTTCTTATTATAAATGCATGAGCACTTCAGGTGTTGTATCTGTTTGTTGAAATATCTCAGTTGGTATTTCATCAATTCCTGTAGCCTTGTCTTTTGCCAATGCCTTTAGTGCTTCTTGGATTTCTTTCTTCCCTACTGACAGTTCTTGATCATATGCTACCTCTTGAAATGGTTGAATGCTCACCAAATCTCTTTAGTGCAGTGAATGTATTCCTTCTAGCTCCTTTTTAAAAAATTGTGATTTGGGTGAAAGTTTACAAAACAAATTGCTTTTCCATTCAACAGCTTGTATACATTTTGCTATGTGACATTTATTGCAATCCCACATAGTAACAGCACTCATCTCACTTCCCCTTGTGTTTATCATTTATTTATTCTTCTAATGTATCATGTTGTCTGGCATTTTGTATTCTATTAGATGCTGGATGTTGTTGTTGTTAAGTACTGTTGAGTTGGTATCGACTCATAGCAACCTCATGCACAACAGAATGAAACACTGCCCAGTCCTACACCTGCCTTACAATTGTTGCTATGCTTGAGCCCATTGCTGCTGCCAGTGTATCAGTCCATCTTGTTGGGGGTCTTCCTCTCTTTTGTTGACTCTCCATTTTACCAGGTATGATGTCCTCCTGAGACTGGTGCCAGATGTCCGAAATAGGAGAGATGAAGTCTGACCATCCTTGCTTTTAAAGAGCATTTTGGCTGTACTTCTTCCAACACAGATTTGTTTGTTCTACTGGCAGTCCACGGTACTTTTAATATTCTCCTCCAACACCATAACTCATATGTATCAGTTCTTCTACGGTCTTTATTCATTGTCCAGCTTTCACATGTTTATGTTGTTGTTGTTATGTGCCGTCGAATTGGGTCCGACCAACAGAGAACCCTGTATAGGGTTTCCAAGGAGCAGCTGGTGAGCTTGAAGTGTCAACCTTGCAGTTCAAACGGCTTTGCAGTCTGGTGAATTAGCCTACAGAGCCACACTATGAGGTTACTGAAAAAACCATGGCTTTGGTCAGGCTCACCTCAGTCTTTAAACTAATCTTTGCCCTTGAGCACCTGAAAGAGGTCTTGTGCAGCTGATTTGCTTAATGCAATACGTCGTTTGATTTCTTGACTGCTGCTTCCATGATTGATGCTGCATGGAACTCAATGAAATGATGTCCTAGCTTATTAATTGGAAATACTCTATATTGTGAAGAACTTTTACTTAGGTCACTAGGATACCAAATTGCAAATGGTATTTCCATGGCTTTAAGACGTATCAGAAAAGTGGTGGGTTTTTTTTTTTTTTTTTTTTTTGTTTTTTTTTTTTTTTTTGTATCTTTTCGTTGGTCCCAAAATTGTGTGAATCATTTTCAGGTTATAAATGAATTGCTCTTTTGATCAGGTCTGTAATAAAGCTGTCACATTACATATGCTATTTCATGTCACATTTTCTTTTTTGTTATACCTAATGCTGATTTTTATCCTACTAATTCCTCTCCACACACCTGTTTTCATCTTTTACAGCAATAAAAATATAGAAATTAATGAAAAAGAGCTGACTGGTTGTCTTCTGAGAAAGCTAGGTGAGACTAATTTTAAATTCTTAAGTTTTGAGAAATAATGCAGCAGTTAAAAATTGTGTTTAAGGCTACATATGAAATAATTTTCTTTAAAATCAGTTAGAGAATATTTCCTTCACTGAATTAGTATTTGTGTGAGATAAGATGTATTGTTGTTCCTAATTAATTGATTAGCAGGTAAGGAGTGGAGCAAATATATGACTTGTTTGTGGGTAGTATCAGTGGCAGAATTGAAGGTAAGCTTTTGCTCTTTTGAAAAGCATTTTCTTGGAGTGATGGTTTAAGTGTTCCATTTTAGGTAAATTATCTAATGTGGGAGTCCTGACTGTTTGTTGGTATGCTTGACCTAGACTCTTAAGTCTGTTGGGTGCAGAGGATCTCAAAGAATCACCTTGTCTTGCTTCTTCTATCTCAATATAATGCTCTATCATAGGTGAATAGTAGGTCCTCAGTTTTTCATAACAGTTCGTTTATAATATTTCATCTTTGATTTAGGGTTTTTAATCTTTTTTATTCAGGTTAACAGATCAAATAAATTGCTATTTAAATTATAAACTTGTGAAAAATTATGCTAATATATATTCATTTAATAACTTCTTTTCTAGATGGCAAGATTGTTTTACCAGGCAACTTTCTATACTGTACATTCTATGGAAGACCATGCAAGTTGCAAGTGTTGCGAGTGAAAGGAACAGATGGCATAATACTGGGATGGCCTGAGAATGACCGTGATATTAGTGCCCAGGGATTGACCTCTGAACACTCTAGCCTGGAAACCAGTAGTCTGGATATGTCCTTACAGCTGAGTCAGTTACGTCTGGATGATCCCCAAGGCCCGGCATCAAGCAGTACTCCTTGCAAACCAGTGAATGACAGCATTAGGAATAAAGCTAATGATATTTTGTTGGGTATTGCACAGAGTCCTAAGGAACCTAGTGGACTTGGGCTAGAGGAAGTCACAGGTCTTAGATGTAGTTCTGAGTCTGCCAGAGAAGGAAATGAACAGCCTATCAATGAAGAGAGATTGCTAAAATCAGTCAGCATGGGAGCAAGATTCAACACGGATAATTTTTATTTTATTTCTTCAACAACAAGAGTCAATTTTACAAAAATTCATACGAATTCAAAAGAGCAAGACAGCCAATTCAAAGTAACTTATGACATGATAGGCGGCTTGGGTAGCCAGCTGAAAGCAATTAGAGAAATAATCGAATTGCCTCTCAAACAGCCTGAACTTTTCAAGAGTTATGGTACGATTTCTTTAGATTTTTTTTGTATCCATAATTGTTCAATTTCAACTAATAATCAGTTGTCCAATTCCACTAATGGATTATTCTCCCTCCTCATTTTTTTTTTAATTTCCTGAGGAGTAGGCATGGTAGAAGGTGTCAGTGTCTTGGGAAATGCCAGTGAAGAAAGCCATTTTATGTACTTTTGTCTCTAGATTTTGATTTGAGTTAGTAACAGCCTTGTTGCTTCTAAATCTGTTCTTCCATAGTTGCTTGGATTGGATATAAAATTAATTATCTGGTTATGTAAAATTAAAAGCTCTGTAATAATGACTAAATAAATAAACCAAAATTTAAATACATTGGATAAAAATTCTTTGCTAGGAAGTTAACTGTGTATGGACATCTTTGTATTGATGCAGATCGTTGAAGTTGTGACTTGTCTCCTAGGAAACCAAGGACTTCTGTATAATTACTGTTCAGATCCTCTGGACATATTTGTTATTAAGTGCTGTTGAGTCAGTTCCGACTCATAGTGACCCTGTACAGGGTTTCCGAGGCATGAGTAGAAAGCCTCATCTTTCTTCCACAGAGAGAACTGCTGACTTTGTGGTTCACAGTGCAGTGCTTATTCTATAGAGCCACTGAACACCCCTTGGGCATATTTGGTACCTGTTATTTTTTTCTCTGTGTTTTCCTTTTTCACAAATCTTTACATATATAAGAAGAACCTGGATTGACATTTTGCTATTAATGCTATGCTTTCCAAGTTGCCTCATTGAAAGAAAATTGGGATTATGACTTGCTATTGACTGTCCATATTGCCTGGGCTTTGTTTTTTGCTCACTGAATTTAGTTGTGTGGATGAAGTTTGGCAACAAAATGTGTCCGGCTGGTGTCTTTTTTTTTTTTTTTTAAATCAGTCTGCTGTCTACAAAGAAAGGAGCTTTCCTGGTGCTGTGGGTTAGTTGTTGGAATGCTGAATGCAAGGTCAGTGTTCAAATCCTCCAGCTGCTCCATGGGAGAAAGATGAGGCTCCCATAAAGATACACAGTCTCTTAGGAGTCTTGGTATAACGATCTAAGATAAACACTGGACAGCAAAGTTGGTTTTACCTGCAACGTCAGCAGTTCAACCAACTACTCCTTTGAAACTCTGTACATGGTCTCTATGAGTTGGAACCAACTTGACAGCACTTAATAACAACAACAGCAACAACAACAAACCCTGTATAGGGCTTCTATGAGTCAGAATTGACTTGATGGTTTTTCATTTTGGTATACAAAGAGAAAGTTGTTGCTGACAATCAGTGTTTGGGCTTTTTATATTTAGTACATCTTTTTGGAGAGTCCTGGTATCGTGCTGTAGGATAAGCACTAGACCACAATGTCAGTTTGAACCACAAGGTTGGTGGTTTAGACTCACCAGCCGCTCCCGGAAACCCTATACAAGGTTGCTATGAGTTGGAACTGACTGTATCCCACTTAACAACATCTTTTTGGTAGGGGGAGGGAAGCCTGAGTCTTACTTTTGTGTTGTGATAAAAGATACATTTTGTAGCTCATGTTTGAAGTTATATGAAAACACTTGTGTTGCTGAATCTAACCTTTTTTTCTTTTTCTTTTAGGAATTCCTGCCCCTAGAGGAGTTTTACTCTTTGGCCCTCCAGGTACTGGAAAAACAATGATTGCCAGGGCTGTTGCTAATGAAGTTGGAGCTTATGTTTCTGTAATTAATGGGCCTGAAATTATTAGCAAGTAGGTACATCACTTAATAGAGCAAATCTATTATTAAATATATTTCTTTTTTTTAAAGGAAAAAAAAATCTTTATTGCTTACTGGGGGTGTAGGTGGTTGGGTGAGGGGAGGAAGGGAAGGTGGAGCACAGGGATAGTGGAGACTTGTGATAGTTCAGGTGTTGTGTGTGTCAGGGGCAGTATACAAGAAGGGAAAGGGGAATGGAGGAGCAAGGCAGATAAGAACACTTAGGCAGGTTTGTATGGGATAACTAGGACAGAGGTAAATAGTGATGCATGCTCAACCATGGAACAACAGGGCTCTGTGATACAGGGACTGAGGCATAGTCTAAATGGGTAAAAGAGGGGAAATAATGTCAAGATGCTTGAATGTCTTACGAATCTTGGCTTCTCCTGCCTACTATTGTAAAATAACACTTGAGGGGGAGAGAAAGGAACAGCCAGAAATGTGACTATAGAAAGCTTGTAAGTCCGTCCTCAGCCCACAACTGATTGGAATATCTTAAAGGGGGCTAGGACCTGCCCAGTGAAGGAGGCTCCCTGTGGAGCTTTTGTAGAGTGTAAGACCTTAGATGGAATCCTGATCCCCATCCAGAATCTTCTGAGGTGGGAAATATCCACTTGAAAAGACAAGCAGAACAGCCTGGAGCAGCTAGAGGAACAGAAGATACTTCTTAAAAGAAAGACCAGCAGGAAAAATCCAAAACAAAAACAGCAGTCTGATTGACTACCACAAGAACAAGCAAGTTGTTCACCTTGTTCACCTGTTCAAGGCAAGCAATGAAGTCCCTTCAGGGCAAATCCCCTTCCACGACTGAAATTCAAAGGGAATACACGAGCGGGCATGTAATCTTGCTGATGACCACATTGGTCTACCGATGAGGGGAAGTCAGGGAAAAGCATCAATGAAGATGTGGGTTGAGTCCGACCATGTTCAGTAGACTCCTGTCAACCTGGAGCGAGACCTGGTTGGCCAGCAGTGTGGTGAGACCTGATCCCATGGACAGGTACACAGACACAGAGGGCTAGAGCAGAGAGGGCAGCATCCAGCTGATATGAAGTGAGCGGAGATGTACAAGAACGCCCAAACTTGCAGATAGTATGCATTGACCTAGCTTCAACGGCCGGACGATCAGAACTCAACTAGAAGAAGAAGAAGAAAAAAAAAAAAAAAAAGTATAATCCACTACAATTTGATGAACTTGACCTATACTTATGAATGCAGCAGCCCAAAAGAGGGAAGGAATCTTCACAGCAAGGATCATTCACATCCCCTCTGTAAATAAGATAGAGATGGGTAACTTAGACATTGGCTACCTAAATAGGGGGCTATAAAGGCACGAAGTGACTGGCTTACAAGTTCCCAAAGGGAGTTTAGTTTCAGAGGGTGTGGGGGAAGGTAGAATCTCCATTGAGTGGTCTTCAACCTGTCCAGACTGGGCTGGTGAAAGGAGATGGGGATAAGACTCTTGTGGTTCAATAGTGAGTAATCGCCATCAGGACTGGCTGTGATTGTTGCAAATGTAAAGGTAGAAAAAAAGAGGGGAGTGGTTGATCTTACAATCCAGGAGCAGAGGACCCTGAGACCATAAAGGAAGAAGAGCGGGATTGGAGTATGTGACCCTATTTAGAGAAGCAGTGATGGACACCAGAGATGGAGACAGTGACGACGACATGGAGAGATGGAGCAGCTGGGGACTCTAGACTCAAGGAGGGAGAAGAGCTGCGTACTGGCAGCCCCTTGGTTGGTTGAATGATGATATATTCCTGAGCATTTTGGTGTACATCCAAAAAAAAGGGGTGGGGGACTAGAAGCAAATACTGTTGAATGATGATGCATGATGCAGGGGATTGTAATCGTTGCAGTGAAACGAAATATGATAGGATGAGGGCAAAGCCGATGCTCTCCCACGTAAACGATCATTCAATTCACAATGAAAACAAAGAAAAAGAAGAAGACCCTCAACGAGATGGATTGACACGTGGCAGCAGTAACAGAGCGAACATCGGAACAACTGTGAGAAGAACACAGGACTGAAGAGTGTTTTGTTCTATTGTACACGGGGTTGTTATGAGTCGGAACTGACTCAATGTCATGGAACAGTAACAACAATGATATTTCAAGTCCAAATGTTTAAAATGTTGTTTTGTTTCATGGTTTCATTTAAACCTTGAATTCAAAAACAGAACATAATATAGCCTAAATCAGCAAACAAACAAACAAAAAATCCTAAAAAAATAGATGAACTCATATTTTAGCTAACAGCCAACTACACACCAAATGTGATAGCTGTGTTACCATCAGAGTGACTCACGGGTGTACCATCAAGAGTAAGTTGGATGAGGACAGACACTGGACTTCTTGGTATACCCAACAATCAAAACACTGCTCTTAGGTTCGAGAACATTGCTTCCACGGAGACAGAGGAACAACTTCTGCAAGAAGAGCTAACGTGAGGTTTTCTAGCTCTTCTTGATTTATTTCACTCCCCCACCCCACCCCCAAAACACATGTGGGACATGGACTTTACACTTGGAATGTCAGAGGTGAAAACAGAAGCCTTGGCTATCCAGCCAGTTCTGGAGTCACGGGTTGAGTTTTGGGAGATGGCTTGTTCTCGTGACCTTTTTCACTGGTCCTTTCTTGCCACTCTCTATCTTCTGATTAACCGCATAAGCTCTCCCCGTTTTCATTAGATTCTCTTTCATTCTGGGCAGTTGGTCTATCTGTTGTCTTTTGGAAACTGGATGTGGGCCTGTTACCTGGGACATTTCTGCTAGGTACGTGTGGCGCTCACTGTTGGTCTTGTGGTAAACCTTTGATTCTTGTTCCAGTCTAAGTGTGTAGTCTTTCACTTGGTTCTCGAGACTCCATTTTTCTTTCTCCAGCTGTTTGAGTAACGTGTTTAAGGATTCCTGAAATGCAGACATTTGATGTTTCCATGCATGCGTGGTCTAACAGCCATGAGAAAAGATGACCACTCTTCGTGACATGCCTTGCGTCCCTAGCCCTCTGTGACCCCACAACTCGATAGCATGCGCTGCTACAGTGGGTATGATACCAGAGTGCCCTGTGCTGTGTTGAGTGCTTCCCGTAGGTCTAAATATATTTCTTAATAAATGACTGAATGTCTGGATATCTCATTCATTGAAACATACTAAATTTACTTTTTTCCCCTTTAAAATTGTTTGCTCTGTTGTTGTTGAGACTATACATAGCAAAACAAACCAATTCAGCAGTTTCTACATGGACAGTTTAGTGAAATTGATCCCATTCTTTGAATTTTGCAGCCATTCTCATCCTTTTTTGAGTTGTTCCTCCATAATTAACATAAACTTTGTTATTGTGTGCCATTGCTAACTGCTACCAAGTCAGATCTGACTCACTGCAACACTGTATAGGGTTTCTGAGGAGTGGCTGGTGGGTTTGAACCGCCAACCTTTCGATTCAAACTGACATTGCGGTCTAGTGCTTAGCCTACAGTACCACACCAGGTGTGCCATTAAGTCAGTTTCAATTCACAGTGACCCTGTGCAGGATTTCCCAGAACAAATGATAGGTGTGACCTGCCAACTTAGTGGTTACCAGTCTAGTGCTTATCAAGTGACACCACACCAGGGCTCAACATTAAACATAGACTTGTTGTTGTTGTTAAGTGCCGTTGAGTCAATTCTGACCCATAGCGATCCTGTATAGGGTTTCCAAGGAGCAGCTGGTGAGCTTGAACCACCAATCTTGCATAACCTTATTGTGCCCTAAAGTTCCTGTTTAATCTTTTGAATTGTTGTCAATTTGGTCCCATATACATAGTTCTCAAAAAAGCGCAATGTCACTTACAACTGTTATTAAGTGCCGTTGAGTTGGTTCCGACTCATTGTGACCTTTTATGGAGTTTCCAAGGCTGTGAATCTTTGCTGGAGATGGAATCCTTATTTTGCTGCTGTGTAGTGGTTGATAGGCTCAAACTGCTGAGCTGTGGTTTGCAGTGTTGTTGTGTTTAAATATGACTTAAAGGGATATTTTTGGTTTAAAGGTTAAAGGGTATGTCAGTACAGTACTGCCAGGGGTTGATCCACCCTCCATGGTTCCAGAAAATCTAGATAGAGTCCATGATAATTTGAAATTCTTTTCTGCGTTTTAGCCCTTTTGGATCATGATTCTTGTAAGGAATCTTTGATGAAATGTTCAATAGTGGTAGCCAAGCACCACTCAGATCATGTCTTGTGGCAAAGGAGGCAGTTGGCTGTACATTCCATGTTCTTCTTGTGTTCCTGACTCTCCTTCCTCTGTTATTTCAGGTGAATAGAGACCAGCTGTGACTTGGAAGTCTGCTTTTAAGCGTTTAAGTCCCCAGTCACAAGCGTTTAAGTCCCCAGTCAGTAAACAGGGAGCTAGTAGGTAGAACAGAAGCACTAAACACGTTATCAGGCCAATTAATGGACATATCCCATGAAACCATGATCCTAAACTAAATTTCCTTTTCAGTGTCTATAAAACTAAGTTTAGAGTTCTTGTGTGGTGCTCTAGAATAAGCACTGGAGTATTAGCTGTATAGTCTGCAGTTTGAACCCACTAGCTGTTCCATGGAAACCCTACATGGTCACTGTGAGTTAGAACCCACTCAATGGCATTGGACAACAACAAATTTAGGTTTGGAAAGTAATTTTTGAGAGTAATTTCAGTAATTTGTAAATAATTGAAGCAGATTAGCTTTTATGGACAAAGCTTTAAAAATAATCAAATTTGATCCTTAAGCATATTTTATTTGTTACAGATTTTATGGTGAGACTGAAGCAAGGTTACGACAGATATTTGCTGAAGCCACTCTGAGGTATTTTCCTTTATTTGAAATTTTGGAATTAATACTCAAGGCTGCTTTAAACAAAATAGGTAATAGTATAAAAATAATAGCAATAGCACTACAGATTTAATAAAATTCTGATTTAAGTCTAATTGTTTTGGAAGTTTGATAAATAAAAAATTATATAGATCAGAAAAATTAAGGCAAAATGTTTGATACATCATATGACCTTGTTTGAGCATATCAATTTATGATTTTCTTTCTTTAAGATACTTAGGCATAGCCAGTATACCTAACTTCTTTTGTGTATTATGTATATATGTGTATATATTGTTGTTGTTAGGTGCCATTGAGTCGGTACCGACTCATAGCAACCTTATGCACAGAAGAACGAAACTGCCTGATCCTGGGCCAACCTCATTACTGTTGCCATGCTATAATATATATATATATTATAGATGCCTCTTGAAACTGTTTTTTGCTGTTTTCAAAGAGACAAAGTCTTTACCCTTTAAAAACTATTCCTATTGATTATTCCTGAGTATAGACTTCAATGTTATTTTGTACTGAACATAGGTGTATGGTTTGTAATTTGTTTTAATATAGTATGGCGGTATCTACAGATTTTTGTAATTTAACTGGTCATAATGAGAGCTTTCTTATCAAAATACTGCCACTTTAAAAGCTTTTATTTGTTATTGTTTATTTCCCAGGTGACAGTGGGTGAAATTAGTAGTTTGTAGTCCCAGTAGTGGAAATTTGAGGAGCAGTGCTATATCTAATGTTTTAGTATTTAGGTGTACTTACTATTATACTCTGGGCAGTTGACATTTCTTAGGAGAGAATTCACATCTTTATGGAAGAATTGATTATATTGAAAAGTCTTTTTTAATGGGGGGGGAAAAGAGGCATTTCTAGCTTTTATTTATAGGACTTTATCCCAGCTCCAAATGGACATCGCTCAGATCAACTTCTGAGTTTATTTAGTTCATAAGAACTTATTGGGTACAAGCGTAGTGGTTACGAATTGGGTTGTGAACTGCAAGGTCAGCAGTTCGAAACTACCAGTTGTTCCGCGGGAGAAAGACGAGGCTTTCTGCTCCCGTAAAGATTTACAGCCTCGGAAACCCTGTACAGGGTTGCTATGAGTCGGAACCAACTCCACAGCACATAACAGCAACAACCGTGGGCAAGTTTTAGTCGACTGTTCTCATTATGCTACCTTCTTAACGATGGTAGGCTCAGATGTATTTATGAGTTAATGATTTGAGCTAGAATTTAAGTTTTTTAGTTAATATTTGAATGTCTTTTTGTTTTCAATATCATTAAGCAAATCTTAAATATGATCTTTTGCATTTTAATTAAAAAATTTAGACTTAAGTAAAATTTGAAATTAATTTAAAGGTAAATTAGAAAATTTATTTTATTTTTGTGTTTTTAGGCACCCAGCAATTATATTTATTGATGAACTAGATGCACTTTGCCCTAAGAGGGAAGGGGCTCAGAATGAAGTTGAAAAAAGAGTTGTAGCTTCACTCTTAACACTAATGGATGGCATTGGCTCAGTAAGTACAGAACTAGTATTGATTGTGTGCATAAAGTCTTTGTTCTTAATATGTACCTAGTAGCAAAAGCTGTTGACTAGAATAAGCTCAATTGGATTGCTAAACACAAGGTTAGTGGTTCAAACCCACCAGCTGTTCCTTGAAAACTCTATTCAGGGTTACTGTGAGTCAGAACTGACTCTATGGCACTTAACAACAACAACAGTAACCAGAAATTTATTGAGGTAAGTCTTAGTACTCATATAAATGATTTCTTTAGGGGCTTTGTGTTAGGCAAATCAAAAGAAAGTAAGAATGATAGAAAATGTGTTAGTAAAAGTTTAAAGAGGATTTACTCATAATTATCAGATTCTATGAGGATACATTGTTGTTAATGCTGTTACGTTGGTTCTGATTCATGGCTACCTTATGCACAACAGAATAAGACACTGCCCAGTCTGTGTCATCCGCATAGCTGTTATGTTTGAGCCCGCTGTTAATGCATTTACATGTTACTACCATGTAAATCCATCTCATTGGGGTCTGCCTCTTTTTCAGTGACCCTTCACTTTCCCAAACGTGATGTCATTCTCCAGGGACTGGTCCCTCCTGACCTGTCCAAAGTATGAATGATGAAGTCTCGCCATCCTCATTTTTAAAAAGAGCATTCTGGTTGTACTTCTCTCAAGACAGATTTGTTTGTTCTTCTGGCAATCCTTGGTACTTTCAGTACCTTTCAACACCATAATTCAGATGCATTGATTTTCTTATGTATTCATTGTCCGATTTTCACATGCATATGAGGGGATTGAAAATACCATGGCTTGGGTCGTGTTCACCTTATTACTCAGTCAGCATGCCATCTTTGCTCTTTCTTCTTCCTCATCTGTCTTACTGTGGAAGCTCTGCTGAAACCTTTTCACCGTGGGTGATCCTGCTGGTAGTTAAAATACCAGTGGCATAGCTTCCAGCATCACAGCAACACACCAGTCACCACAGTACACAAACTCACAGATTAGTGGTGGCATAAGACTTCTTTGTTGTTATTGTTAAGTGCCGTTGAGTTGACTCTGGCCCATAACAACCCTGTATAGGGTTTCTGAGCAGGAGTTGGTGAGCTTGAACCACTGACCTTGCAGTTCAAATGGCTTTGCAGTCTGGCGCATTAACCGACAGCGCCGCACTAGGTCTATAATAGGACTTAAAGAGAACAGAAATTAAGAAGAATTCTCTCAGACTGTTAATAGCCTTTAACTAGGAGAATACATTTCTTTTAGAGGATATTATGTAACTGAAGTGTTTACAATCATGATATGTTAGAGGAATTCTGGGCATTTAGAACCTTCTAGTTTTTTAACTGGTTGTTGGTAGAAGCTGACCATGTGAAAGGATGAAGGTTTGGTTAAAAGTTATTTGCTACCTTGTGTTACATATAATTTTAAGACTCACTCGAGAAGAGTTACTATGTAGGGCGACTAAATGACCACCTGATTATCAATCCTGGGACAGTGCCTAGGTGTGATCACCATCTTCCAGGTTTGGATCTAAGCTAATGCAGCTGGAGAATTCAATGGTAGTACGCTGGTGATGATGGAACTTCAAGAACTGACCTGTGGTAACACTTAAAAGAGACTGATATATCAGTCAGGATGCCTTATCAATTTATAGTAAGAACTGTAACTATTAAGCCAATCCAGTAAAAAAAAAAATTTTTTTTAATGAAAAACAGTATTTGCACGCTGAAGTCAATTACATTGTCATTGTTGTTAAGTGCCGTTGAGTCTATTCTGACATACAGGTTTCCAAGGAGCAGCTGGTGGATTTGAACTGGTGATCTTGTGGTTCCTAGTCCAGTGCTAATCCTACAGCGCCACACCAGGATCTGAAGTCAAGTACAGATGGAGGCAAATTATATGTATTGTAATTATAAAAGTTCTTGGTAAGTAGGGAAGTAGATGGAAGGTTTTATATTGGAGGATCAGGTGCTTCCAGACTAGGAAGAAAGACCTGGTGATCTCCTTCAGAATATCAGTCACTGATTAAGTATGATCTGCAACTGATCATGGGGATAGCTTAGGACCAAGCACTGTTTGCTTCTGTGGTGCATATGGTTGCCATGAGTTGGGGCCAACTCATTGGAAGCTAAGAACAACAAGTCATTAAGTCAGTCTGTTTCATCTTTGTCCACCGCTGGCATAGGTTTGGTGAATGGACCTTTAGGCAGGACTGGAAGAATGTGACATTGATGGTATATTCTAAAGATGTTTACGGACCACTACTTGTCCTACTTAAGGAGCTCTGATGGCGCTGTAGGAAAAGCACTGCACTGCTTGCCACAAGGTTGCCAATTGAAAAAAATATGAGGCTTTCTGCTCTTATAAAGATTTATGACTTCAGAAACCCTAAACAAGGCTGCTATGCATTGGATTCGAAATGATGGCAGTGGCTTTATGTGTCCTATTTATCCAATATTTGACCCTCAACAAGATGGAATGACACTTTGGCTACAACCATGGGTTCAAACATAGCAACGATTGTAAGGATGGTGTAGAACCTGGCAGTGTTTTGTTTACTGGTCTCTGAGTTGGAACTAACTTGAGTACCTAACAGCAATAACAATCTTTGTTCTTCTAAATTTGTAATTTTTAGATTTAATGTGCTTTTTCTGTTGGTACATCTAGTATAATTGATTAGATGTGCATTTTCATGTTTACAATCTCTGAGATTATACTCCAGTCATCTTAATAGTGTGTTGAATAATTATTTTCACAGGCAGCTGATCTTGATGTTGGCTGTTTATGTTTGATGTTCCTAATTTCATTATCAGAGAGTAAATTCAACTTTAGTTTGGTGCATTAAAATCTGTGTGTTGTAACAGTGGCTGATATTTAGAAAGATATGCCATTTATATTCATTTGATTTTTGTAGGAAGGAAGTGAAGGACAAGTGTTGGTCCTTGGGGCCACTAATCGTCCTCATGCTTTAGATGCTGCACTCCGACGACCTGGCCGATTTGATAAAGAGATTGAGATTGGCGTTCCTAATGCTGAGGACCGTTTGGATATTCTCCAGAAGCTGCTTCAAAGGGTACCCCATCTGCTCACTGAAGCTGAACTACTGCAGCTGGCTAATAGTGCTCATGGATATGTTGGAGCAGACTTGAAAGCCTTGTGTAATGAAGCAGGTGAGTCTGATTTGCCACAGAGTCTACGTTGATGGACTTCATAACTTTAGTTTAATTACATATTAATAATTTATATCTCACTTTAAAAAAAATGGAAATAGCTTCAATGTTTTTCTGATTATAAAGTATATTTTCATACCTACTACCTGACTCAGGTAGTTGTTGTTGTTGTTAAGTGCCGTTAAGTCGATTCCGACCCATAGTGACCCTGTATAGGGTTTCCAAGGAGCAGCTGGTTAGTAGGTATGAAAACATACTTTATAATTAGAAATCTAGTCAGGTAAAAAAATCTAAGTGATTCATTCTGGAAAGTATGGAAATATAGGTTGCTATGGGTAAGTACCAACGCGATGGTACCTGACAACAACAGCAGCGAAGGCTAATGATCGTTTTGACTAAATGGGTAATGAACACTTCTTTATATGTTTGTTGGCTGCTTGAATGTCTTCCTTTGTGAAGTGTCTTTTCATGTCCTATGCCCATTTTTTAATTGGGTTAGGCTTGATTTTTAATAGGCTTGTACAAGTATCTTACTACACTTTTAATTTGTATTTCCTAATGTATCCTGGTATGACACTGTGGGTTAATGCGATGGACTGCAAAGTCAGTTTGAACCACAAATGGGCCATTCAAGCTCATTAGCTGCTCCTTGGAAACCCTATACAAGGTCACTATGGGTTGGAACTGACTCCACGGCACTTAACAACACAACAGTGATATGGTGTGGTGCTGTACGATACGCATTGGACTGCTAACCGCAAAGTCGGCACTTCAGACTCACTAGCTAGTTCTTGGGAACCCTGTATAGGATTGCTAGGAGTTGAAACGGACTCAGTGGTATCTTAACAGCAGTGATAATATGATTGCGAAAAGGGCACCAACTATCTCTCTTACTGCCCTCTCAATCAGCTAGATTGAGTAATCCACTGCAATATCCACACTGAACTCAGGCACCATATTCACATTTAGGGGGTTTATTAGGGAAGTTGTTGTTGTTTGTTGAGTGCCATCGAGTCGGTTCCAACCCACAGCGACCTTGTACAGGGTTTCCGAGGATATAAATCTTTACGGAAGCAGAAAGCCTCATCTTTCTCCCGCGGAGCAGCTGGTAGTTTCGAACTGCTGATCTTGCGGTTTGCAGCCCGATTCGTAACCACTACACTACCAGAGCTCCTTTTAGGGAAGTTAATAGGTTACAATTCAGGGTCAGAAATGTTTAGGGCACAGTTGTTTCAGTCAGCAGAGCTTCGACTCTGTTGCACCCATAGACAGGCCTCTTTAGCACTTGACCCCTTGGCCTGGCCTCTGCCCTGCTCTGGTAATGTTACAAAAGCTCTTTTAGGGCTGCTGATAAATGTCCACAAGGCACGCCACTCCACCATAAGCTTCAGCCTGAAGACATTTGACTCTAGGTCCATGGATCAGTAAACCTAATTAAGTGCCTGGAGGTACCCCACTCTGCAAGCAAGTGTCCAACCCAAAATCATTCAACTTTATTCGTTCCATGGCCTGGGAAGCTCTGTCTTGTGGTTTGGCTCTTGGTTCTGTACCTGCTGCTCCTTTGCTTCTCCTCTAATGTCATAGTTTCTATTCATGAGTCAAGGTCAACGAGGTTCAGTGTGCAGAGATCTTGGAGTCGAAAGGACAAGGTTTACTCCTGCTGGTGATTTCCTTCAAGTTTATTTGCAGAGATTAATATTGTCATTCCTGCTGTTTTTTGATTGCCGTTAGCTTTACATGTATTTGTCCACCTTTTTGCTTTTAGTCTATTTTAGATGTCTTTGTGTGTAAGTTGTGTCTTTTGTAGACAGCATATTAAAGGATCGTATTTTCGTATCCATTCTGTTATTTTCTGTGTCTTTACTGGTGCACTTAATCCGTTTCCATTCATTGTGATTATCAAAAGCTATGAATTGATGGCTTTCATTTTATTCTTGGTGGAAAAATAAATTTTATTTCTTTTTGTGTGCTTCTATAATTTCTACTTCAGAAGACTTGTAGTTAGCAACATTATAAGTTGTATGATTTACCAAGGCAAATAGAAATATTCTTCTAATACGTTGTTGTCTAGATCCCTTTCTGTCTAGTGTTAGCTTCTTTACTGCTGCTAGTTTTACAGGGAATGGTGGGCTTGATTATAGGAATGAATACAGTAAGGGTTAAGAAGGAGAAATTATCAGTTGATAACTGCTTTATTTCATTAGGTGATAATGTGTCTGTTTCACTGCTCTGGAGGTGTTTATGACATCTAGGCATTGAATCATTTATTTATTTATTTTTAACTTTTTGTGATTTGAGTGAATGTTTACAGTCTAAATTAGTTTTCCGTTCAACAGTTGATTGCAGTTCCCAAAATAGAACAGCACTTTTTCCACTTATTTCTTGTGTGTACTGCTTCCATTCATCTTTCTTGCACGTCCATTTCTGGCTTGTGAGTTTTATCACTGGGCTGATGCTTCCCGTTTGATTTCATATATTTGATTGTTATATTAAGTTGCTTGCCTCTCTGGTGTTTTTGTGTACCTTTAGTCCTTTTTGCAGTTTGCCTCAAAGTTGATCCATGGGGGTGAGCTCGGTTCCAGGCTTACTTTAACTTTCTAATACATTTCAGGCATTAGGATTCTTACAGGTTGATCAAAGAACTAGATTTTTATACAATTATTTATACAGTGGGGTAAGTATTCATAAAAATATTGAAAATGTAGTGACTTCTAAGTAGGTTTGAATAAAAAATAGTTCTGCAGGCAGAATGAAGGCAGTGAGAAGTTGCAAAACAGAAAACATTATTTAATATTCTCATCAACTCTATTAGGAGTCCTGGTTTAGCTCTGCAGGATAATGCACTGGACCGCAAGGTTGGTTTGCACTGCAAGGTCAGCAGTCTGAACTCACCAGCCGCTCCTTGGAAACCCTATACAGGGTCTCTATGAGTTGGAACCGACTGGATGGTACTTAATAACAACAACAACAACAACAACAACAACTCTATTATGTAAGTTAAGTGTCAGATAGACATGAGAGGTCTCATAGGTAGTATGTGGCATTTAAACCCATGTTTGGTTGTCATTTCAAATCTATATTTTTAATCACAATTAAAATAAAGCATGATTTTTTTTATAGCATTATAAGGCTATATGATTTAAGTATGGGCTGAAATTAAGGATAGGGTAAATTTATAAATTAGAAAATATCTTAACTTTTGAGAGATATGTACAATTCAGAATTTAATTTGGGTCTTGAGATTTTTAAGCTGTAAAGTTAAAATGTAACCATATACTGTATTTAAATAGCACTGTCTACTTTTATGGGCACTAAAAGAATGGAGTCCTGGTGTGGCGCCTTAAGATAAGTACTGGACCACAAGGTTGGTTTGAACCACAGGGTCTGTGCTCTTTGAAAATCCTATATAGGGCTGCACTGAGTTGGAACTTACTCCATTAGAACTTAACAACAGCAAAAGAATGGCAAGAAAATTTGACACATTTTAACCCATGTTTTGCTATATTTAGGTGAAAAATGTGTGGGAGCACTGGGAGGTTGGTTGAAGCAAGACCTCCAGTTTGTCACGTATAAACAGCAAATAAGCATTAAACCTTAATTAAGCATTAAACCAAAATAAGCATTAAACATTATAGCTTAATTTTAAAATCCAAATATCTTGTAGTTGAGTTGACTTTATTGTTAATAGAATGACTTGTTTCCTAGTCCTGTACCATCTGTATACTTGGTGGTATGCTTGAGTCTAGTGTGGTTTTCGAAGGTAGTAATGGTCTGAAATTGAATGCAATCTATTTTTTCCTAATGAATCTGTATCAGAAGCTAATTTTTAAAAAGATTAATATTAAAATATTCAGTAGGGAAAATACAGTTATGAGATTTTGTGTATTTTTTCTTGAATGTAGACTGTTAGAATGTTATATAATGTCATTCTGAAACTTTATGTACCACACTAAAGCTTAGAACAGTGTGCTTTTTTATTTTTATTTTTTTTGAAGTTTTTATTGTGAATTGAGTGAAAGTTTACAGGGCAGATTATCAGTTTGACATTCAACAAATCATATACTTTGTTTCATTACAATGATTATAATCCCCTCCATGTACCATCAGTTAACAGTATTTCTCTCTATTCACTTTAGCTATTTTTTTTTTTTAACATTAAGGCATATATAATAATTTATACCACCAAAGGGCACAGTCTACAAGTCTGCCTCCTGGCTGCCAGCTCTCAGTTCCTCTCTTTCCATGAATCTAGAGTCCTCAGCTGCTCCCTCTCTCCATGTCCCCATCTCTGCCTCCATCTCTGGTGTTGCTGCTTCTCTGGACTAGGTCTCGCATTTCCGCTTGTGCTCTTCTCCCTTGATGGCCTTAGGGTCCTCTGTTCCTAGGCTGTAAGATTAACTACTCCTCCGTGTTTGTTACAGAACTTCTACCTTTGCAATTGTGATAGTTGCAGCTTGTTATGATAAGAATACTCATTATTAAATCCTAAGAATCTTATCCCCATCTTTTTTTTAGCAGACCTGTTTAGACAAGATGAAAACTATTCACTGGGGACTCTTTCTTCCCCTGCACATTGTGCCCTCTTGAAAACCTGTAAGCCATTCATTTTGTGCCTTTATCATCCCCTCATTTTAGGTAGCCAGTGTCTATCTACGCTGTATACATGTGAAGACTCCTTCCCTCTGAGTTGGTATTTTGACTTAACTACATCCACAAGTTCATCAAATTATTACAAATTTCACACATTTTCTTTTTCAAAAAAATTTTTTTTTTTTTTTTTTTAATCTTTCCCTAGTCGAGTTCTGATTATCTAGTCATTGAGGCTAGGTCAAATGGATACTATCTCCAAGTTTGGGTGTTCTTTTGAGTCTCTCCTTCATATCAGCTGGATGCTTCACTCTCAGCTCTAGCCCTCTGTGGCTATGTCCTTGTCCTTGGGCTCAGGTGTCCCCAGGTCTCACCACACTTTGGACCAACCAGCCCTTCCTCTTCTCTCTCTC